GGAAGCCATATTCCACACGAGGGTCAATGAACGGCCGTGGATGGGCGCGCTTCAGAGCCGTCTTACGGGCAGCTTCTAGCTGCCGCCTCTGTGTCCTGTCGCGGCCATTGTTGATTACGCCACGTCCCTCAAGTGCAAAATCAGTAATGTTATCTCGATTACATCGCGCATCTTGTGCAGGATGTGCAACCCTTTGGTTGAGCGCCAAGACAATAGAAGCAACATGACGATGCCGTTAACAGGCGGAACACACACACACCTATGTTGGGCAAAAGGCTCATTAAAATACAATTGGCTGACCTAAACAAGCATTGTATGCGGTCTATACGACCACATTGCGACCGCGCTACATCGGAGTGTTCACGGTGGTAGCAAACAAGGGATTGAGCTGTACCCTGAATATCCTGAAGCAAAATACGAACACACCCAGTGTTTAATTTGAACTAACCAAAGCCTCACCACGACCTCGCTCATTCGATCTAGCCAGATGTGATAAATTTGGCTACGCGTGAAGCAACGTCGCTGCCATCCTTTGCAGCTGAGCTATCCTTTACTCCAAAGCAGCGACGCAGGTTTGAACCACTGGGGATGCCTCAGGCCAGAGTCCAATGACGAAGCTCAGGAAGCAAATTTGAAATCTGGCCTCGAAAACACGTGAGCTATCGGAGAAAAATGTCGACGTGCCACCCAATTCAGAGAGGTCATGACAGCCAGCCGCAGGAGGTTCATCTCCGCCGATATTGCTTGATAAGCAACGAGCGGCCTACTTTCGCAGGATCGCTTAGTGGGCTTTACCAGTATCGTGATTCGAGGGATACGTACTCATGGGTATTCGAGCCTCCACTTCAGCAATATTTATCTGGTGCCGTGGCCACTAACATCCTGGCGCACTATCAGCCTCAAAGCCTTTAGGTCCAAAGGCTAATAGTGCTGGGAAAGGTCGGCTTATCTTTGTCATTACGAAACGGGAATGCGATTAGTTGCTGATAACATGATGGTCGTCATTTTTCAAACCGGGTACTTGTGCAGCTCGTCAAGATTTGCGCCGATTGTCCTTAGCACAACAAGTACAATAAATATAGCTCCAGCGAGACTTCTCGTTAGGTATACGATCTTGCATTGCTGATCAAGATTAAGCCTTACAATTTGAAAGGTGATGATCATGAGCAGAGATTCTCCCAACGAGAGAGAAACCCAGGCAAGTGCAAGATAAAGGCGCAAATGAAATTTACGTAACTTATGAATTGCTATATTGCAAAGACTAGTAAGATTCTTACGACTTGTCAGATACTCTCAGCATTGCCACTTAACATGGTCTCCGTGCGCACATATGACGTTAATAGACGCTGCGATACGTGCACTAGGCCATTGACGAACGGAGATTGTCGAACACCATAAGTGCTGAAGTCATCTGGCAAAGAAGTTTATGCTGCGATGTCATCGACTGAGCAGCAGGAATATTTTTCTCCTGTAAGGTGACACGGTTAGCTTACCAAAACTAGCCATGTCTTCTAGCAGGAGAAATTTTTTTTAACATCCACCCCATTCGAGGAATCTTGCTTCGCCAACGAAACATGTCAATTAGGCCTAGGGTGGGTGGCGCTCCTCACACGCGGACGCTCGACGATATAAAACCGCGCGCTGTCGATTATTATGTTTGACTCGGACAGCTTATGACTGGCGCTCCTCACACGCGGACGCTCGACGATATAAAACCGCGCGCTGTCGATTATTATGCTTGAATCGGACAGCTTATGACTGGCGCGGCACTCTGCGAGCGATAAGCACTGAGCGCGTGAATATACCCCCAGCAGCTAGCGCCTTATGCACTTATCTCAAAAGCATGTTCGGCGTACGACAATTTGCTTTTTTGTCAAATATTTATATTTTCTGGTTCAAAAATATCGAACATTTCCGAGACGGTAATGACAACACCGAAGATCCACGTGCAATGTGCTGGTGTGCGTTCCAATCAATTTTCTCCACCACCAGACGACAACGAGTGCTCATTCGTTGACGATTCAAGCTATGCATCTTTTCCATTTCTCGTGCGTGTGGAGGTTAACAGCGTCTCATTCATAAATCGCGGGACGCACGTCGAGGAGCGGCGCTTCGTCTTCTCAGAGCGCGTCGTGCACGCCGTGTTGGCAGACTTTTCTCAGCAACATTTGTATAGAATGACATCACATTCCAATGTATCATGGGATGGCAGTACAGCGCCAAAAGAGACGTTTCAGCTCCAACTCCATCCCCACTTATGCGTTCTCGTGCGCTCCGACTGCTTGAACATTTACACGGCAGCCGGCGAAGTGTTTGAGGTGGCGCTACCTTTTCAAGCTAATCGCCTTTTTCCGATTAAAGGTCAGGGTCTGCTTATGCAGCGCAGTCCAGCGGTACAGATCCCAGTATCAAGACAAACCCCAGATATTGCGGCAATGGCCCTGGCCCGCAAGGGTCGACGTGCAAGCACGAGCAATCGAGGAGACAACAACAAATATGATTATAGCTTTGAGGGATATAAAAAACCAACACGACCAAGGTATTTTACACTCAGGCATCCTCTTGATGAGATTAAACCTATAGCTTTAAGTGCAGCCACGATCAATGGAGAAAAACTATTTATTTCAGACTCTCAACTAGAAGGTGTGGATGTTTTGATGGATGGAGTAGGGCCTATTTTTGTTGCCTTCCATCAATATGAGCAGAATTTCTGTGTCTTTCGGCTGAATGTACTGCAAAAGTCGGCAAAAGAGCGAAATCCAGAGATTCGAGTGGTTGATGGACCAATGTGGACAAGGTTTTGGACTAAAAATGACTTAAAGGAATCACGGGTGTGGATTGATCCAGATTGGATTGCAACGACGCTCTGGAAAACTTCGCAAGTAGGCTCTATCAAACCAAACTCAGCATATTTGTCGCCGATTGCCTCATCATTTCTTCGCTTGTCCACTCCACCTGATACACAGAAGTCATCGTTGCTGGAGTATAATTTTAAAAGAGCGTTTTTTGCATCAAGTGTCGACAACTCTCCGTTGTTGTGCTTGCTGGACAAAGATACTGGAACTCTGCTGCTAAAATCCGTCGTCGAACTAGATAACGAGAATAACGAGACCGTTGCTCTCGATAAAGGCAACAACTGCAGTAACAGCGTTCGTATTTTGCACTGTCTTGACGCGGTACCTATTCGACAACCTGGCTCTGTAAAGTCATTTAAAAGTACCAACATTGCGGATTTTGAATTCTCAACAGACATTGTGGTGCTTGAAAGAGACTATTCTCTCACCCTGTACCGGGCGCATTTTCCAATTTGCTATTTGGTCGTTCTTGACGTGGAATTGAGTAATATATTAATGGGAGCTGTTGGTAAGGGTGATTTGACGAAGAATGGTTTGAGCGGCAGCGTACATTTAAATGCTGTCGGCAGAGGCTCTAACTACGAGATTATCTATCCAAATCTTCGCGGTTACGGTTCTGAAAAAAAAGTGCGATTTGAGCATCCACTACAGGTATTATGTTGTCCACTTTTAGAGCAGATTTATCTTGTGCTGGCTAGCATTATTCCCCCTAGAGACTTTTGTGTACTTAAAGCTCATGTTGTCAGCTTGGCACAGTATAAAGCTCAAAGTTGCAGACAATTACATGAATTTACGGGGCTAGAGTGGCAGGCTTTTAGTGAGTGCATCCTCAATCTACAACTTAAGCAATCAATTGAAGAAAGTAAGGTTGGACCGGAAGAAATGTCCAGCAACGACGCAGAGATGACTGCTACTTCATCATTCAATGCGCTACAACTCAGTGAGTTTCATGATATTTATCAGTATGAGCACGCCATGCTATTCGCCACGATGGACCTACCTGTGATTAAATCCACTGTTAGATGCCATCGTATTACTCGGTCGAAAGAAGTCAAAACAAATACCGGATTGTCGTCTCTGGGTATCTCCAGTGAGGTAATTTTTGCCGGACTTCACATGCTTTGCGAAGATTTGAAAATGTCAACCACGCTTCTACAAGATCGATTGCATCTGGCAAAATTCTTGCTCGCGATGGCTAAGCAACTAAAATTGGATCGCTTTATCGAGTATTATCAGGCGGATAATTGTGTCTTGCAACGCTGTGTAGAGCAAAATAAAGAATGTGTCGAAACGAAACGACCCCGAAAAACCTTAAAGAACAGTTTGCTCTGCTTTTCAGCGTACGGATCCGTTCCCGACTTGCTTTTGTGGCTGCAAGACAAAATATCGGCGACGTCAAAGAACTTAGTAAACTTTTACACGCTTTTTGACGATGTCATCAAATTTTCTGGCTGCCTGCATCGACTCTATGATCGTCCACTTCGACGCACTGACTCGATTTGTCGAATTTTTGGCTTCATGTGTCCAAATTCGGTGGAGAAATATTCTTGTGTGCAGACTGCTCAGTCAAATACATCTGAGCTGATCATGTTTCTAACACAAGATCCTGTCGGTAAAATGCTATCGATCGACGACCTTCCTGTTGGCCTAAGCTTTCCCATAATCCAAACCATTAATCAGTTGAAGCACCATCCACCCTCATTCATTACCGAAGACATATGTCAAATGCTGGGACGAGAAGACCTCAGTGCCAGCGCAGAACGATTGCCCGATTATTTTCCAATCTCTGAAAGGGAATACCCACGCATTGCCATAAGGAAATCAGAAGACTTTCGAATTCAGAGCGACAAGGAAAATCATAATGAATGTGATGGTCTGGAAGATCTTATATGTCGAAGCCAGCCGCTATTCCCATCTGATCAGAGAATGAAGGAGGTTGCGCGACTTCTGCGCTCGAGTCGCCCGCTGTGTCTGAAACTTGAGAAAAAACCAGATTTGTCGGATCTTGATTACGCCCAGGAGCAGCAAGCTCGTTTGTTGCTTCTCTGCAAACGATCGATGGCACTCTCAGTAGCTCGTGGTATGGTCACACTGGGTAGTTTGGATACTTCGTCCGCTCAAACACAAACTTGGCGACTCCGAATCCCTGCGCTGCCCTTGCAAGGTCGAAAACCACCTACGAATGCTATTGTAGAGCTTGATCTTTCTGGCTATGCCAAAGAGTTGACCTACTGGCCTCAGTTTCACAACGGCTGCGCGACAGGCTTACGCCTTCCAACACACGATCTCTCGGGTGTAATAAATCGCCATTGGATCAAGTATCATCGACCTTCAGTCGGTGATATGACGCAGCGAAGCTTAATCGGAGCTGCAGGCAGTGAGCAGGCAACATCAATGCAGTCAACTGGTGGTTTTGGTCGTAATCTGGAAGAGGCATATGCAGCTCATGCAGGATTGTTGTTGGGGATTGGACTCCGTGGACATCTTAAATGCTTATCCATGGCTGATGTATATAACTATTTGTCCCTGTCAAATGAATTTGTGACAGTTGCGATCATGCTTGGTATGGCAAGCACAGCTGCTGATTGTCGACGTAAGCAAAAGCAGCAAACTTCAATGTCAACGACTGATTCAACCGACGAGCAGAGTCAAATTCCACAAGCAGCACATACGCTTGATGAGATGGCGTCACTTGAGGCAAATCATTTTTTGACCGGCTTTTCTGACCTTGCTTCGTCCGACGCCACACCTCTTCTTGGAATTGGTTTAGAGCTGGCATTAGAGCGATCAGTTTCCAAGATGTTGTGTTTACATGTCCCGTCTTTGCTGCCGCCACCATTCAGGGGATTTTCAGTGCCTGCATCAACTCAGACAGCAGCACTTCTTGGACTCGGCATTCTGTACCAAGGAACAGGTTACCGGTTAATGACAGAACTACTGCTTGCTGAGATTGTGCGATCTCCTTCGAGTTCTCAGTTCGTGGAAAGCACTGGCACTACAGGCTCATCTACACCATCGTTTGATCAGATTGATGGTTATGCATTAGCAGCAGGAATGGCACTTGGCCTTGTTACCCTCGGTCGTGGTCATTCCACGACGGGAGACCCTGGACTGGCCGATCTTAAGCTCGAAGAAAAGCTGCACAAGTACATCGTCGGTGGGGCTCAACAGTCTCGAGAATCAAATGCGATTAGAAGCTGCTTGTATCGTGGCCGACAAGCACAAGGGGATGGTAGTCTGGGCATCGGCCAAGATTTGAGTGGCAGCACAACAGGTCACATGGCATCTGAGAGCAATGACACTAGTCGCGAAAGAAGGCATCCAAGCAATCGCTCCGGGGCTCGTGGTAGCAGCGAGCTCGTGAACATTTCGGTTACTGCCTGCGCAAGCGCTCTGACTTTGGCCTTTATGTACATGCAGACAAGTAATAAAGCTGTGGCGGCGCAACTGGCAGTACCAGACACACTCATTCTTTTAGATCACATTCGCCCGGACATTCTCTTAGTGCGCACGCTGGCCAAAAATCTGATCATGTGGAACGAAATATCACCTACAAAGGAATGGATCGAGCAAAATGAAATTCCCGCGCAGCTTCTGCAAGAGTATACCTCAATTCAGAAACGTAAAGGAGGAACGCAGGTGAAAAATTCAACTGGCCCGGCGTCCCATGCGGATCTTAGTTCGATCTGCGAAGCGTATGCAAATATAGCAGCAGGTGCGTGCATGAGTATGGGGTTGCGTTTTGCAGGTACTGCAAATGTATCAGCTCGGGCAACACTTCGTAGTTATGTGGTGCACTTTCGTGGCTTGAGAAATAATGCATCTTCGCCCACAATGCTTTTAAGTGGAAAAAGCAATGTTGTTGCCGCTGCAACAGGGCGTGCCACTGTGGAGCGATGTCTTGCCGTGTGTGCGCAAGCGCTTGCACTTGTTGATGCGGGTATGGGCCACGTTGAAACGTTGACATTGTTGCGGTCTATAACGCTGCGACAACGTGTGGACTCAGCAATGACTTACGGAAATCACATGGCGCTGAGTATGGCAATCGGCTTGCTTTTCCTTGGCGGCGGACGTGCCACGATCTCGCAGTCGAAAGAGGCGATTGCAGCATTAGTGATTTCACTTTACCCAATGCCGCCAATAAATACGGCAGATAACAAGTATCATCTACAAGCTTTTCGTCACCTTTACGTATTGGCAGTGGACAACACGCGATATCTGAACACTGTAGATGTGGATACTCAAGAGACCTGTACCGTGCAAATTGACGTCACTTTGGCTCCTAAAGCTAAGGTCCAGCGAGTGTTTCAAACTCCGTGTCTCCTACCTGATATTGCAACAGTCAAACGTCTTGCAATCTCGGATCCTGAATATTATCCGGTTGAAATTCTGTCATCGCCAATTTCGGACCAACTGAAGTCATCAGGACCCGTCAATATAAGGACAGCCAATTCAATACGATTGGAAGTTTTGCGGAATAATAACGTGATTCTCTTGAAGCGCAGGCATCGTAAAACTTTGAACATTGCATACCCTACGGGCAGCACCGACAACAATCAACTGAGAAGGCTTTTTTGTACATACTTTTTGTCAAGTGATTCTAATGCTGTTGATGATATTAAAGATAATAAAAAAATTGACGATCTATCTGTTACAGCGGATTGGGGTAACAGTTGGTGGTCAACGCAGTTGAGTTCTTGGATACTGAAGGACGCCTACGAGGAACTACAAACGGTAAAGCTTTTATTTCTCAATGCGTTGCACTCGCTCTTTCGCCTGCAGCAAGTGCCACAATTGTCGACTGCCATAGACGTTATAAGCCTACTCATGTTTAGCAAATATTGTCGTCTGCACTTGAGTCTTTCCGGAATCGTACTTGATTCAAAAGAGTTCAAGTCCACGCAATCCACGACTCCGCAAGACTTCACGAAAAACAGTTTTATCCTTTTTGAGTTTGGTGAATGGCTTACGAACCAAACGGAAGAAGCACTCCGCGCGTTGTGGTATCGTACCTCGCTACATGTTATGGCTTCAGCGCGAGTCCAATTGGTGCCGTTGACATCATACAGTGTATCTGAAGCATTTTGCTTTAATGTGTTGGTGCAGTATTTCGCTGGACCTTCCCTGTCCATGGTGTCGATTGCAGTGCATCAAAGCCTCTCTTACAAGGGTTGGCGAGCCAGAATTCAGCGAGCACTAGCACGCTCTCATATCCAGCATCAGTCACGGCAAACAGCACAATTTCAACTGTCGCCTTTTCTTGAGAATCAGAAGCTTACGGATATAGAAAAAACATTTTGGCTGAAGCTGGTTTCGTTCTTCTTGGAGACTGAAGGGCTGAGTCAAGATAAACGTGGAAAAAAGCAATATGAATGACAATAAAGTTACAGTTTGCAACTGTTATTTAATTTATCGTCTTTTCACGCATACCACCCGCTGTATGATGACTGCCACTCACATGAGTTTTGACTGTCTATTTATCCTGGTTCGACATAATCGACGAAACAATTTTCATCAGCGCGAGTATGGTCTTGGTCAGTATATTTTGTCTGGTAACTCCTTTATCGCTGTTTTTGCGAGTTGAAAACATCACGTGAGATCCGCTGTAATCTGCTCACGATCATCACTGTCACTGGTGAGTATCCGCGTAGATTCTTCGCAGGTGTTACTATATCTAATTTTTATTTGGCGGGAAATAGATCTTTTTGAGGTGTTGTTCGTTGTTCTGCCACACGCTGCTAAGCACAACTTTTAATTTAGTTTAGCAAATGTGATTTTCATTTTACGTCTTTTGCGTGGCGGCGAAGCGACGGAGGGAGCTGGATTCAGTGGCTTTTTCATCAACTTCACTGGAGAGGTAATCGATTGTTGAGCTGCAGATCCGTTGATCGACCTTTGAGTATAAATCTCGCCACAATCTAGCACTTTCTCGTCCAGGCTTTCATTTCCGTCTAGCATCTTACCATCGTGGTCATGCTTACATGTACTTTCAAGGGATACCACCTGCATCACCACTTTTGGTTTTTCTAGAGTAGCAGTCGCTAGATGAGTGTTGGTTCCTTCTCCTCCATCGGCTGCTGGGTCAGGACTCCCTGGTTGCAAAAGGCTGTCTTTACCATGGGTTGATTTGGGAACTGGTAAAGTAGGCTTCTGACTGAAAGTGGACACATCCCCATCCTCTTGAGAATGCATACCGTCATCACTTGAAGGCGGAGGACTCGGAGCAGCCGCCTCCTCTGCTTTCTTCTCATCTTCCCTCTTCTTCTTCATAAACTCTCGTCGGAGGGCGCGCGCGACTGCCCGTCCACCCATTTCTTCGAACACGATATCCGGCAGGGTTTTCCAAACAATTGGAGTTATTCGCACGTCCATCGTAGGAGTTCGCTTGTTCCAGCGGTATAAATCGTTATTTTTGAAATATTCTACTGAACTATCAATGCTCACTTCACGACTGCGCAGCTGGCGGCGATCGATGTCAAAACCGACGTAGAAACAGGAACCTAGCTTGCTCGGCTGAACTTGTGATTGATTGGAAGTCTGACCATTTGGATGCTCATTGGAGGGCTTGTCACCACTCGTCACGTAACTAAGTGCGTATTTTTTGGTGAAGACACGCAAACTGCAGAGTGCCGGATTGTACGCTAAAGACTCGACAAGTTTACGCATGCGAGATTCGCAGAAACTACACCACGCCTGCTCTTCCTCCTGCTTCACGGTGTACACCTCGACTGCAAGGTAGTGTTGGTGAACAGCAAAAAACTCAGATGGCTCAAACAAAGGTCCCCATTCTGACCCTCCTTTACTCAGGACGTCCTGAACAATAGTTAAGCCACGTTTAAACTCTTTTTTCATCACTGCAAGACTATGGGTTGACACGTTAAATGACGAATTCATTGATGGGTAAGCAGGCGTCAATATCGGCATTACTTGGTAGCTATAATTACACCAACACACAATTTTGGTTAGTAAATAAGAAAAAATCTTAAAAGTGGTCAACTGACCGATTGTGACCCGCATTAGCGTTCCAAACTTCTAGACCAAGTTTTGCATCATGTGCCTTGCATAATTGTATGGCGAGTGGCCATTTCCAATTGTTCAAGACCATAAAAAAGCGCAGCAACAATGTCGAGGGCGCTGCCGTCGGATAAAGCTGGTTGATAAAACACACCAGAATACACCAATTGACACCTCCAAGGTATCCCATCTTATTTGAATACAGTCCACGTCTTTTTGCCCATCGTCTGACGATTCGCAATACACTGATGAAACTTTCTCGATTCGGTGTCAACTTGATCATTAGTTCGGTGACACGCGGACCGTTGAGACTCTTTTCGGTGGCTGGATCCACTCCCACCAGCACATGATCATCCAATATATTAAGATTTTCTGGAATTGAGTTTCTTGGCAGAATTGCGATCTGAAGATCAATATTGATCTCCTCGTAGTCGAACGTAATGAGCGGCACAATAGCGCCTTCAATGGCCACAAGCTGTGAAACCTTTGGATGTTTTAGAAAAATCTCTTTAAGCGACGAAAAAAAGTCTTCACGAGTAACAT